TGGTCGAGGAGGCTCCCAGGCCACGCCTCCTGGCTGGGGTCTCGCAGGCCACGCCTCCTGGAGGGCTTTTCAGGCCACGCCTCCTCGCAGGCCACGCCTCCTCTGGGAGGGGATTCGCAGGCCACGCCTCCTAAGACCACGCCTTCCGGAAGGGGACTTGCAGGCTACATCCCAGAATGGGGACCAGAGCTCCCTCTCCGGACCTAGTCTGGACCCCGGGAGTTTCCGGTGCTGCCACGCCAGGGGTTCGTGTTTTTCTGTTGCCACGACTCAAGCCTGGGTGACCTTCAGCTTGGCCCCAGTTATCCCCTGTGCAAAGTGGGGTGACGTGGAATCCACCCAGAGAGGAGTGAGGACTGAAGGTGCCCGGTTCCTGGCACTTGATGACGGGCACGGTGTGTGAACTGAGGCAAGGGGCTGGGACATAAGTCACCCCTAACCCCGGGGGACCCGACTAGGGGGGGCCTCCGGCGGAGGGGGCACTGCACCTGGGCTCTCCGGGTTTGCTCAGAAGTGGATCCCAACTCCTTTTACCCCGAGCGCCTTCGAGCCTGAGGTCCCCCTGCAGGCGGCATGTGGTTGGGTCTTGCGGGCAGCGGTGGTGGGTCCCAGGCTGACCTGTCTGCTGATTACGTTGTGTAGCAGCTCACATGTAATGTTACTGTTGTAGTTGGGTGCACACACCTATGCCGTTTTCCTTTTGCTCCCGTTATGTGGTCTCTGTTTTGTTCTGTTCCTCATTTAAATGGGTTAAAGTGAATGCTTTTTATTAAAATTAAAAAGTAATGTTTTCATTGATTTCAGAGAGAGGAAGGGAGAGAGAAAGAGAAACATCAATGATGAGAGAGAATCATGGATCAGCTGCCTCCTGCACACACACACCCCCTCCCCCATGGACCTGCAAACCCCCACGTGCCCTGACAGGAATGGAAGCGTGACTTCCTGGTTTGTAGGTTGATACTCAACCACAGAGCCGCACCGGCCGGGCAAAGTGGGTGTTTTTTAATATAACACTAATGATTTTTCCCCCTGGTTTAAAAAGTTTCTTTTCCAGTGGCCTCTGTAGGTTAAATGTGTCCTTCGTAACAGCAGAATCCACTTCAGATTTGTACCAGCTTCATTCCACACATGCAGAAATGCTAGGCCCGGATAGCTCTGTGTTCTCTACCCACTTTCATGGTGTGCTGTTATGAATGTTACATTTCTTGTTACAAGCGCAGTAGTGTGATGCCATGCCTGCTTTTCCATTGGTAGCCATTTTCTTAGCCCAGTACAGCCTTGCTCCCACTCACCTCCTTTATGCTGTTGTTGCAAACTAGTAACCTGGTGCACGAAATTCATGCACATTAATTAAAGGGAATTAATGTCCTGCCCGGTTTGGCTCAGTGGATAGAGCATTGGCCTGCGAACTGGGGGGGTCCCAGGTTCGGTTCCAGTCAAGGGCACATGCCTGGGTTGTGGGCTCGATCCCCAGTGGGGGACTTGCAGGAGGCAGCCAATCCATGATTCTCTCTCATCATGGATGTTTCTGTTTCTCCCTCTTCCTTCCTCTCTGAAATCAATAAAAATTTAAAAAGGAATTAATTAGAGGAAATATTTTAATATTGCTATTTGCCCTTTCTCTAGAGTAGAAGTGTCAGAGATGAAAGAAAATTAGTAAAATGTATATGATAACCTTCCTCCTGTCAGAGTCTGGGGCGCACCATGGGAACTAGAGTCAAGTCCCCACCCACCCACTTGCTCCTTGAAATCACTCGGGACCCGGCCAGCCCCACCCCCACTGGGCTAGATTCAGACCGCCAGCCCCACACCCTTGTCAAGTCCCACCAGGAGGGGGGGATGCGGCCTCAGGTCCCCTGGCACAGTGTCAGGGCGGGGGGTGCAGGGCAGGGGGTGCAGCCTGAGGTCCCTTGTCAAGCCCCACCAGACAGGGGGCACAGCCTCAGGTCCCCTGCCCAGGCCCAGTGCCACACAGACTCAGGTCCCTGATGATTGCTCATTAAGGCTCGTTGCGGGATCCCTGCCTCTGCTGTGGGTGCGGCCATCTTGTTATGGTGTAACGGTCAATTTGCATATTCCTCTTTATTAGCTAGGATGGCACGTTCCTGTATATATTGTGTGCATGTCATTCTGTGTGATTGCTTTTTACGTCGGGTAAGAGAAGGACCGCTGTTCACTTAGGACGCAGGTGCCCTCGGGGGCTTGCTTTTCCCTTGATTTGGATTGCCATCCGGGCTCGCTGCCTTTCCGCCTGAAGCGTCCAGTGTTTCCTGTACGGGTGTGCTGGCGGCAAGTCCTCCCAGTGCCTGTTCATCCGACAGCGTCTGTTTTGCCTTCATTTTTGAAGAAGAGCTTTGCTGGATGGTGGGATCTTGGCTGGGAACTCTGAGTACGTTTGAATGTACCCGCCGTGCTGTGGCCTCCAGGTCTCTGCTGGTGAGTCAGCAGCTGGTGCCCTCGGAAGCCCAGGTCATCTTCCTCCTGCTGCGTCAGGATGTCTCCTTGTCTGTGGCTCTCGGCTCTCTCACGGTGATGTCTGTGGCTCTCGGCTCTCTCACAGGGATGTCTGTGGCTCTCGGCTCTCTCACGGTGATGTCTGAGGCTCTTTACCGCTGTCCTGCTAGGATCTCAGTTCTTGGAGACGCCTGATGTGCAGGTGGCGATCTTCAGCCTTTGGGGAGTTTCCAGCCATCCGTCCTCTGACTCGCCTCCTGCTCCTCTGTCCTGGTGGGGCTCCCATGACACAAATGCTGTGTGCCCAGCGTTTCTCTAAGATCCGACATTCATTTGTCTCTCAGGGCTGAACATCTATCAGTCAGTCGTCCCGTTTGCTTATTCTTATTCTGCCGGTTCATCCCACTGTTGAGCCCTCTAGTGAATGTTTCATTTTAGTCATACTTTTCAACGACAGAACTTCCATGTGGTTCATTTTTATAATTTCTGTCTTTTTATTGATATTTTGTATTTGATGAAACATTATTATCAGATCTATCTTTACTTTTTAACTCACGGTCTCATCTCTTTTTCGCATGTTTATAACGGCGACTTTAAAGTCTTTTCTGGTAAATGCAAGATCTGGGCCCTCTCACAGGCAGTGCTGTCTGCTTTTATTCCGGGGCCTGGATCTGCTTTCTTGTTTCCTTGCATGCCACACCTTTTTGTTGAAACTGGATATTTTAGATACCATATTGTCGCTATTCTGGGTGCTGATCTCCCGGCTTGCTGGTGCCGGTGTGCTGTTAGTTCAGTGACGTGGTGGGTTGTCTGTCCCCCTCCCACAGAGCAGCACTGGGTTACCCACAGTCACCCCAGAAGACTGCTTCTAGGACTGCCTTCCCCTGACCACGCCCGGCTGGTAAACCGGCTGATTGCTGTTGTTTTCAGCTGTGACCTGGGGCATACCTTGCTCCAAACACTAATCCAGTCACGTCCTGGCTTCTCTGAGGGAATAGCTTCTAAGCAAGAGCCTGATTTTGTTCGGGTCCCAGGGCCCCCTGCGAGGAGCTGCTCCAGGACCCGGGCTGCCACTGTCCTGGGAGCCCTGAGGCCGGGCTGCCCACTGTGCGGCACAGAAGTCAGCTCCTCTGGGAAGAGATTAAGAGCTCTGCTTGATGCTGCCTGTCCCCCAGGCCACATCTGAGCCAGGGCTCCATTTAGCCGGGACAGGGACAGGCCTCAGTGTGAGGCCCCTGCCCCAGGACCTGAGGGCTCGGGGCGGGGCGTGGCAGCAGCCAGGGGAGCTGGGGCTCAGGGCGGGGCGTGGCAGCAGCCCTGAGCCCTGAGATGCTACTGAGTTTCTAAG